TGGGTAAAATAGAGGAAAGGAATGCAACCGCTGTATAGAGTAGAAGTAGATAGATACTCACTGCATGCTCATTTATTCAGTTAACATTTATTGAGGGGTTAATGTATGACAGACCCCAAAGTAGACTAAAGCTAACTAGAGAATAGGGCAGCATTAAATGATACAGATGTGTCTGGACTTACTGACCGACCATAGCTTGCTGGCAGCTAGTGCTGTAGAGGATGGTGGAGAGCCAGGGTGGTGTAAGGGATGAGGAGCAGGAGGGAGAATCATTGTTTTTGGTTGACTAGGTTGGTAGGGAAAGCGTCTTTGAGTGGCCGTTGAATTGTATTTGGCTTCTGGGTGTCCTCCCCAATTACTCCCAGATTGCCTTATCCATCTTATTTTCTGTCAACACTCACACTCCAAAGGCATGATGCTTATTTCTGGCTTTGTACCTTTATATGGTTTCCTTTCTTCCAAGATCACCCTCTTGCTGTCTCTGCTTGTGAAAGTGCTTGCTGCTGCTTGCTCAAGGAGTGGATCACATTGCCTGTCCTTTATGAAGTCCTTCGCTGTTGTTTTATGCTGTGAGTTCTACTTAAGTGTGCTCAAGGGCAGGCATAGCATTTGTTATTTGTGCCTGTGTGTATTCTATGTCCAGAATGAAGGGTTGATTGATAAAGGGTTAACTGAGCTCTGAAGTGTTCACATTTGGAACACTTTAGAACAGTGAGTGACTTTTTAATTGAACTCTTAAATTTTAGTTTATTATTTTATGTGTATGTATGTTTTGCCTGTATGTAAGTCTTTGCTCTACTTGGGTGCCGGGTGCTCACAGAGGCCAGAAGGCATAAATTCCCTAGACCTGGAGTTACAGATGTTTGTGAGATGCCATTTGGGTGCTAGATAGCAAACCTAGGTCCTCTGGAAGAGCAGCCAGTATTCTTAATTGAAAAGCCGTCTCTCCAACCACCTAATAAAACCTCCTTTTGTTTTTTATAAGATGGATTTTTCTCCTTGTAGCCCGGTTGTTCTGGAACTCAGTCTGTAGACCAGGCTGGCTTTGAACTCACAGAACTCCTGCCTCATTCTCCTGAGTGCTGGAGATTAAAGACATGCTCCACTACTGCCCAGCTAAATTAGATTTCTATTGCATGATTACTGTAGGTGCACATGTAGTTCTAAGGAACAATTCTGGAAGGTCCCTTGTGTCCTTTATCCAATTATTCCCATCTTGTAAACTACAGCATAGGTAGCCCAGGCTGGTCTCTAGTAGTGAAGGATAGTCTTGAATTCCTGAACCTTCTGCCTCTACTTCCTAAGTATTTAGATTACAGGCATACATCATCATGCCCAACTTGTACTGTTTTTAATGTTTGTCTTAGTCACTTTGAATATTTGAAGTAATTTTCCAGTAAACAGTATATAGTTACATCATGTTGTAAAATCTATTCAGCCAGGCTCCCTTTTGATTGATGTATTTAGGCAATTTATATGTAATATAATTATTGCTATATTAGGGCATACACCTGCTACTTGTCTTTTGCTCCCTGGTTTTTCTTTTTCAGACTTGTGGATTGCTTGAACATTTAAGCTTTTTTTCTCACCTTGATCTATACTGTTTTGGGGTGTAATTCTTTTCCTTCTTAAGAACTTTTCTTTTCAGGGTTAGAGTAGGATAGGATAGGAGCTAGGAGACTAAGTCTCACTCTGGAGCTTGGTCTGGCCTAGAAATCACTATGAAGACCAAGCTGACCTTGACCATCCTCTTGGTTCTGTGTCCAGGGTGCTGGATTATTGGTGAGCACCACCCTGCTTGGATCAGAACTTTTGTCATTGTTTTAAAATAGATTTGTGAAAAATTCCTTCCTTTTCCTTTGTATAACAATATGATTCCCTTTCAGCTTTCTTTGGGTAGAGGTTTTTATACTACTAACTTTTCCTCCCAGTCCTTTAAAAGCACTGCTTTCCTTCTGGGCCTTGTGGTTTCAGGTAAAACATTTGCTCCCATTCAAGTCACTTTTCATCTGGTGTTAGTTATGGCTTCTTTTCTTTCATTCTTCTTTTGTTTCTATATTTTCTGATGCTTGTTCCTTTTGGTATGGATTTCTTTGGATTTATCCTGTTTAGGGTTCACTTACTATTTATTTAGCTTTATTTAAAGTCTTTTGCCAAATTTAGGAAATTTTCACCACTATTTTTTGAGTGTATTTTTAGCCTAATTTTTCTGTCCCCCTTCTAAGACTGACAACTTGAGCAATAGCTCTTTTGTTACAGTTGAAGAGTATCTGATTTGCCAGTTGCTCTTCAGTCTTTCTGTTGTTCTGGTTGGATACTTTGTGTTACTCTGGCTTCCTGTGTGTTTCCTCTGTCCCTGAAGGCAGCCACCTAGTTTTTTATTTTTATTTTTATTTTTATTTTTATTTTGTTTTTTTTTTGAGGCAGGGTTTCTCTGTGTAGCTTTGGAGCCTATCCTGGCACTCGCTCTGAGACCAGGCTGGCCTCAAACTCACAGAGATCCGCCTGCCTCTGCCTCCCGAGTGCTGGGATTAAAGGTGTGCGCCACCAACGCCCGGCCAGCCACCTAGATTTTTGATATTTTTTCAGCTTTTTAGATTTCCGTTTGGGTCTTTATTTGCAACTTATTTGCTTAGGCTTTTTTTTTTTTTTTTTCCTTTTAAATACTTGTTTAGAATCCTTGTAATTGTTGAAGCATTTCTGTCAGGGCTATTGTACAACTGATAATTTTAGCACTGTTGGTGTTCTTTAATTTTGAACTCCCCATCTTTTTGAACTCCCCATCTTTTGGACTGGTGTGTGTGTGTGTGTGTGTGTGTGTGGTTAGAATCTGGATATTTTCGTGTTTTCTGATATTCTAGTTCTTTTTTAAGCTTTCTGTTTTCATTGGAGTTTGGAGGGGTATCACTTCAGCAGAAGAAATGAGGGAGGAACTTTGGTTGTTACCTTGTTATCACTAAGAGGAATCAGAAGTCTGGGCATGGTGGCTTAGGTATTTAATCTCAGCACTCGGGAGGCAGAGGCAGGTAGATCTCTGTTAGTTCAAGACCAGTGTGGTCTACAAAGTCAGTTCCAGGACAGCTAGGGCTGTTACATAGAGGAAACCCTGTCATGAAAAACAAAAAGCAACCAAAAAAAACCAAAAAACAAAAACACCAAAAAACAAAAGACGAATCAAAAGTACAGGACACACACACACACACACGCACGCATGCACGCACACACGCACGCACGCACGCACGCACGCACGCACACACACACACCCACACGCACGCATGCACGCACACACGCACGCACGCACGCACGCACGCACGCACACACACACACCATTTGACCACCCTTGACCCAAGCTCTCTAGTTTTTCGTGTAGGACAGCTAAGGTGGTGTGCAAGGAATGGTGCCTTGTTACAAGCTGGTGTGGATAAAAGCTTTGGCTTCTGTTGTTTTTTGAGTATGAAATGGCCCACAGAGGTTCATGTGTTTGAACTTTTGGTCCCTAGCTATCGACACTGTTTGGGAAAGTTAGGGAACTTTTAGCAAGTGGAGTCTCTGGAGAAAGTGGGTCACTGGGGGTAGGCCTTGAGACTTTATAGCCTAGTTCTGCTTCCTATTCATTCTCTGGATCTTGAGTGTGGGTGCATTGTGACCAGCCAGCCTTCTGCTTCTTGACACCATGGCTTCTCTGCCTCTTGTCATGTGCTTGCTCCCCACCACACTATGGAACTATAAGACAAAGTAGACCCTTTGTTAAGTTGTTTGGTCAGGATGTTTTTATCACAGCTGCCTACCTTGATGCTGGCATGTTGTGCTGGTGACTAGGACTTAGGTCTGGTTGCAACATGTGAATGTGTGAAGTCTAACCTTGTCACCTCAGTTCTTCTAGGTGTTTTGGTGTAATTTCTTCTTAAAACACCGAGTTGCTGGGATGTCTCTTAGTCCTCTAGATAACTCAAGTAGGCTTCCTTCCATTGGGGCCTTGTTCATGCCTGTTTTCATTTCCAGCTTGTTGGCATCATCTACTTCAGATATGGGGTATATGAAGCAAAAAAACGAAATCACCGAAACTTCCTATTTGTGCTGCTGCTCTTCTTGGACTGAAGCTCACAGCCTGCCTGCCACCTCTTTCTAATTTTTTAAATGTGATCTTCTCCAGCCTACCAGATGAACAAATAACAAAACCTAGCCTTCTCATGTTTATGTGTAATATCCCCATTTTTATGTATCTATTTTACTGCCAGAAAAATATATCCCTAGAAGAGTTAGTATTAGACATTCTCACTTCCCATGGGGTAATTTTTTTAGTTCATATAAAATATGAATTGCAAGAAAAAGAAATCTGCTGTATATAATTCCTATCTTAAAAGTTGTTTGACTTGTGTATCTTTTTCTGAGTGCTTACTCCAAGTCTTCTAATGGACTAGATACCAGGTTGTTGTCTAGGGACTATATTTTTTTTCCTCTTTTTAAAATTTAATTTAGAAACAAGCTTGTTTTACCTGTCAATCCAAGTTCTCACTCCCTCCCCTCCTCCCCTGCCCACCAGCTCTCTCTCCCATCCCCTTTCTCCTCCCCAGGGAGGGTGAGGCCTTCCGTGGGGGAATCTTCAAAGTCTGTAGGGACTATATTTTGACTACTGTTGCCTGGTATTAGCTGCTTCTCTTTTTAAAATTTGTTTTGGAGGGGGGGCGTTCAAGACAGTGTTTCTCTGTGTAGCTTTGTGGACAGCCTGGCCTCAAACTCACAGAGATCTTCCTGCCTCTGTATCCTGAGTGCTGGGATTAAAGGTATCTGTCACCACTGCCTGGCCCAGCTGCTTCCCTTGAAAACAAAATTTAATTACTTTTAAATTTTTATTTTGTGCATGTGTGTTTGCATACATGCCACAGTACACATGTGGCATTCTGAAGACAACTTTCAGGAGTTGATTCTATTCTTCTATCATGTGTGTCCTTGGGATATCGGACTGAACTCAGGTCATCAGACTTGGAGGTAGGTGCCTTTACTTACTGAGCTCTCTTACTGGCCCAATTCTTTTTAAAACATTAAGTCAGTGATTAGACATCCACTTTAACTTTTCTACTGTTGTTTTTCTTGTATTTTTGTAGAAACAGCTAATATTTTTAAGGTATATAGAACAGCAGTAGTGAGGGTTGAGAGGACAGTTCTGATTTAAGATGATCTGTTTTTTTTTATTATTTTTTTGAATTCTTGTAAGTTCTTAGAAATTACAAAAGAATTGACTTGGGGAGATGGCTCACAGGGTTAAGGTGCTTGCCTACAATCTCGGTGTCCTGAGTTTGATCCCTAAAACCCCCATGGTGGAAGAAGAGACCTGACTACCACAATTTATCATCTGACTTCACATATATACTACAGCACATACCCCTTCTCAAATAAATAAGTAAAATAAATATAGTAGCCTTTTAAAAATTACACAGTAATTACATTTTTATAAGAATCATTTATAATCATTGTCATTTTTGACTTGTTGGAACACAATTAGTTTTGGGTGTGCAAAGCTCTCTAGGCATGGTGTATGGGTTGAGTCTGAGGTCCTCCACAAGCTCCTGCTCTGATTGCTGGCCTCTCAGTTCGAGCTATTGGGAAGGCTCTAGAGCATTCTCTTAAAGCTGCTAGGAGCAGAGCAGTAGAGGAGGGCCTGTGGAAACCTGTTCCTGGCTCTATTGGATCTTTCTGCCTCCTGGGAAGCCTGCTGTGATGGAACCTCTGCCAGATGCTTCCGTTGGCTACCTTAACCTCTACTATACTGACTCCATTGTGCTAGATTGCAACCTTCTGAAACAAACCTTTCTTAAGTTTCTTGTCCTTGGGTCCAAACACTGTCAGACACCAGATAAGACCGTTCTGGGTATCCAAGAAATGTTTTGAAGACTGTTATTTAAGTTAGATGGCCCAGTTCTTGCTAGATTTTTGTGCCTTTAGCAGTTACCATTTCTTTTTTGTTTTGTTGTTGTTGTGTATCTCACTTTGACTTATAGAAAGGAATAGTTTGCATTGATTGGTGGAGCTACATGCACAATTAAGTTACTAGTTGTTTTTGCAATTACATAGTGTACTTGATGGTTTATTGTCCAAGTTGAAGAGTGGGTAAGCATTTCTGGGAGTTGTTTTGTTTGTTTGACTTTTGTTTTTTGTGCTTTTGAGACAGGGTCTCACTATATAGCTTTAGCTGTCTTGGAACTTGCTATGTGGACCAGACTAGCCTTGAATTTACAAGAGATCTGCCTTCCTTTGCCTCACAGGTTGATGTAAGCCACTACACCTGTCAATTTTGGGAAATACCAGAGATCTCATTTTACAATTCCTAGGAATTCATGAGTCATCGGTAAATACTTTACTAGTATCAACTATTCTGTGTATTGCAGATACCCTAAGAGGTTAGAAAGGCAACACTTATTTTTAAGTGTTTTCATGGAAAGACAATACACTTTGAAATAAGGCAGTTGTAGGGATAGTAGTCACTTCTACCTAGAAGCATAGGAAAATTAAAATTGCAAGGTTTTAATGCAAAGAGTAGTAAGAGGATTCTCAATAAGAGGAATTGTATACACAGAGGCCATGTAGCAGGGGAGGGTGTGATCTATATGGAATGGGAAAGATGGGTGTGACTGAAGGGCCCTGGGCAAGAGAATGGGGTAATTGGGAAACTTGTCATGGCCAGTACCGCAGTACCTTGTGCTCAGAGTTGTTGACCATCTGAACATAAAGAGTGAGCTTGACTATGCTTACTCAGAGTAGTAGAGAATTTGTTTTGCTAGAGAAGCCAGAAGAAAGAATACAGAGTCAGGGTCTTACTTTGTAGTACAGGAGGGCCTTGAATTTGTGATCCTCCTCAGTCTACAAGTTCAGGGATTACAGGCTTGTTTCACCATATTTGACTGAGAAGTCATTTTTTTTTTTATTTGTTTGTTTTCCAAGTATGATGCCCTAAGGTTTAAATATTTATAATTTAGTCACAAATCTTGGGGTTAGAGGGAGGAAAGATATTGTTCTCCACAGATTAAGAGTCTGAAAGTTGTCCCAAGAAAAGGACTTGGTGTGGTCAGTTGGTGAGTGTTAAAGAGTAATTTGTGGATCTTGGAAGGTAAAGGAATTTAACTGTATTTCTTTGAAAGTCATTATTCTGAAACTCATGGAAACCAGGTCCCTTTAGTTTTGTTGGTTTTCAAAATTGTCAAGGTGCCTGGTACTTTGTAGGTATATATTTATGGAGTCACTGGCATTTGAATGCAAATGAAAAGGACTAACTATATAATTTGTGAGTTTAGAATGACATGAAAAAGAGGCTCTTTATTTGAAAAAACTATTAAAAGCTTCAAGACAACAACATATTGTTAAACTAATGCAAAATTCCTTCTAAGGTGGAGCCCTGTGTGACTGTATATTTTATGGGCTGATAAAGTCTGTCCGAAAGGAAATTTTAGAATTCATTTAGTACAGGAACCTCCTTTTATAGAAAATATGTAGTATTATACACAATTGAATGTTAATGATTATTACTGTATGCTGGGATTTAAACATTAAAATATGCCTTTAGATGTTTTGCTACCTTTAAGTCTGTGGGCATAGTGTTTGCGTGTATGTGTGTACATATGTATACCTGAGCATATGGAGTTTTACATTTCCAGTAAATGTAAATAAAGTGTCTCTCAGTTGAACCCAGAACTCACCATTGAGACTAGTCTAGCCAGCCAGTTTTCTGGGGATCCCCCTGTAATTACTATTAGTTTCCTACAGTGAGCATAAAAATAACAGGTGAAATAAGTAATTTTTGTTTGTTTGTTTTGTTTTTTGAGACAGGGTTTCTCTGTGGCTTTGGAGTCTATCCTGGAACTACCTCTTGTAGACCACAATGTTCTCGAACTCACAGAGATCCAACTGGCTCTGCCTCCCGAGTGCTGGGATTAAAGGTGTGTGCCACTACCACCCAGTGAAATAAATAATTCTAAAGAAACTTATACAAAGATATTTCCAAATCCTCTAACACATTTTTTATGTCGTTTGTTTTTATCATAGGGGTTAGGGATATAGTTCAGTAGTAGAGAAAGACTTTAGGTCCAGTATCTAACATCTAAATAAACAGTTTTTCCGGTAGTTACTGTCTGCCCTGCTGATAAATGTGCTGGTTTGTTTCTTATTTCCTTGTAAGTTCTGAGAGGTCAGAATTTATTGGCCATGCCTACTTGAGAGCTGTCTGTTTAGTTAACTGAGTTTCATAGAATGGGGAGAAACAAAGGTCTTTGTAACAGTGGTGATGGTGTCTCACTGACAGCTGTGGATGGTGTCTGTGTGTGTGACACATACCCTGCTGTCTGTAGCCAGCTAGCATGTATGTTGTTGAACACCTGCTGCATACATTCCTGTTAATAAGACTTTTTCTACTTTTTGAGTTAAGTTAATTTTAGCAGTAATTAGTTTTTTCTTCTGCCAAATCACTTTAAACTTAGGTAAAACTAGTTGTGACTACTGATAGAAATAAATTGAAGCAGCTGGATGATTAAGTATGATTCATAGTTTAATCACTTTAAAACGTGAATGTTGACCTTCTTAATAGTTACTTTGGCACACTCAATTTTGTTTTATTAGTTGTGCTAATTTATAGACAGTATATTGCAAGTTGGACCTTGTCTTCCAACATTGTAGGCTCAGATGAATACATTGGATAAACAACTGAAGAAAATGTCTAGAAAGGCATGAGTAAACATAATTACCAGTAGATGAAATAAGTAATTCTAAAGAAATTTGTTCTAAGATATTTCCTAATTTTCCAACACATTTTTGATGTTTGTTTTTGTCATTGGGGTTAGGGTTATAATAGTTCAGTAGTAGAGAAAGATTTTGGGTCCAGTATCTAACATCTAAATAAACAGTTTTCCCCATAGTTACTGGCTGCCCTGCTGATAAATGTGCTGGTTTGTTTCTTATTTCCTGGTAAGTTCTGAGAGGTCAGAATTCATTGGCCATGCATACTTGAGAGCTGTCTGTTTAGTTAACTGAGGTTCATAGAATGGAGAGAAGCAAAAGTCTTTGTAACAGTGGTATGAGTAAGCAGACTATTGTTAGCAAGTAAAAATGGGGTAAAGAAAGATTGTAAGGTGAGCAGCTTCTGTCTAACAGAGCTGCTATACATAGAGATAGCGCATTGTGTTGGAAATAAGAGCCAGCAGTTAAGGAACGTGATTACCTTTTGCCACTGTACTTACTGTGTGCAGTTGCCAGTTGGAATGCTAAATATAACTTTTAGTTTTTGGCTGTCATTAGTATAAATCTGGTGTCTAATAAGAAGATTCTCTTTCCTTTAAATACTGATCTGTGGAATTTGGACTCTTGATGTATGTATCTGTTACTTCCACTGCTAACGTGACACAGAACTGGAGTATTCTTGGTTATGCTGCTATTTACTAGGTAGCTTTGAAAAAGCACAAAGTACTTTTTACAGATGAAAATGACTTAGGTAATCTGACAACCATTTATGGAATATATGTAATGTGTGAGCTCAGTGTTGGAATCACTGGTGGTAGACAGATGAAAAGATGAATAAGACATAGTCTAACCTGTCAAAGATTAGAGGTAAGAAAAGTTTAATTCTTAGCCGGGCGTTGGTGGCGCACGCCTTTAATCCCAGCACTTGGGAGGCAGAGGCAGGCCGATCTCTGTGAGTGCGAGGCCAGCCTGGTCTACAAGAGGTAGTTCCAGGACACCCTCCAAAGCCACAGAGAAACCCTGTCTTGAAACACCCCCCCCCAAAAAAAAAGAGAAAAGTTTAATTCTTTTGCCTTAGTTATTTGTCTGATAGTGATTATGCACTTATTGCTTTAAACCAGGCACTGTGGTCTGCACTACAAATTCAAAAGTGCCTTCCAGGAATTCAGTCAAATGAGTAAACATGACATATAGAAATGCCGCTGCATGTTGGCATTAATGAAATAAAACTGCTTTGGCGAGGCAGATAGCAGGGTGAGTCCCAGCAGCATGTCAGCCATTCTAGCACTGTAGCTGAATTAGGATAAGCAGAGGTCATTGTTCTCCTCTTTTTCTTCTACTCCTACTTTTTTTTTTTTTTTCAAGACAGGGTTTCCTCTGCCTGCCTCTCTGCCTCCCAAGTGCTCAGATTAAAGGTGTGTGCCACCACTGCCCACTGCCTGACACAGAGATTCTTTCAGATGAGGAGATAACAAATATGAAGTGTAGTGGGCATTTTCTTCAGGCTGCCAACCAGCTCCCAAATAAAAGACATGGAGACTTACTGTGAATGCTTTGCATTAACTTAGGCTTGTCCCACTAGCTCTTTTAACTTAATTTAACCTGTTTCTATTCATCTATGTTTTATCCTTGGGGCTTTTTAACCTTTCTTTCATTCTGTATGTCCTACTTTCCTGCTTCCACCTTGTCTGTCTGTCTGGCCCCTGGCATTTCCCTGTCAGTGCCCCCCCCCAAAAAAAAATTCCTCCTACTTACTCTCCTTGTCTGGAATTTCCACCTATACCTCCTTCCTCCCTATTGGCTGTTCAAGCTTTTTATTAGACCATTAGGTAGGCAAGGTAAAACAGCAGCGCATCTGTACATAATTAAACAAATGCAACACACTTTACGTAATTAAATATTCCGAAACAGTGAATATAGAGAAAAAAGGAAGTATGAGATATTTGGGTACCAGGAGTGGTTAGATGTGAGCCAAGAGCTGGGCAGTCTCAAAGGCCTTCACTTAAGCCTTCCTGTGTCTGGCTCCTTTCTTTTCCCATCTCAGTATGTTGCTTCAGAGAATCCTTTCCTGAACACAGTGGAATAACTACAGTCACTTGCTGACATGCTAGCTTGGGACATTATTTATGGAATACTCCTTCTTAGCTGTCACTTTTTTATCTCTCAACTTTGGACTGCAGTTTCATGAGACTGATCCTGTAAGGAAACTGTCCTGTATTTTTGCAAATATACTGGGGAGTGAGGAGAATGAGTCATTCCTTTCTCTTTATTCCGTACCTCAATTGTGGTTGTCAACATCCAGGGTAGGAATATAGTATGAGGGTCAGAGAGACATTTGAGCAGTCTTGCGATTTTGTTCACTGTACCATGCTTGAATTTACAGTGGCTTAATTTAATGAGTTTTTAGTATGCTGTAACATTGAAATATTAGTATTAATGTTTTATCAATTATCTCCCGTTAAGTAAGGGATCATTGGTTTGTTTTCACAGAAAAAATCTACTCCATTACCAAACGTGTTAATTTTGTTTCCAAAGTTTACTTTTCCAGTTTTGTATATCAGTAAGAGATTTTACTGTAATTTTCAACAGGCTTATAGAATTATTTGTGAATTAAATATCTAA